TTTTTAATGTAAGAGAATCAAAAAATGTTCGAATTCTTCACTAAAAAATATTTATTTCAATGTTTCTTACGTATTTTCAAATATTAATTCTTTTTCATAAATATAATTAATAATATTACAATAAAATCTTATCTGTACAAATTCAATTATAATGTTATTTTATTAAAAACGCGTTGTGCAAGAAAACCTATCCTGATCTAATAAATAAAACATTAAAAAGAAAAATGTTACTATTCATGGGTATTATAAATATCCATGGTCACTGTGCTCGCACAAAATTCTACGTATACAACCAGTTACCCGTGTCGGTTCGGATCTTTCATCCTGCGACATGATTGAATAACCAGAGGAACAAAAATGCATGCGACTCACCAATTGATGCGAAGAATCTGCGTTGCCATTAGTTGTCCTGATTCATGTCAAGTCGTCGTTTGAGAAATATCTGTAACAAAACGTGGAATGTAATAACTTACAAATATGTTAAAGAAGTTCTAATAAAATATAATATTAATAAAAATTGAAATCTTCCAATAAGTATTAATTTATTAATCTTGAAATGAATCTATTTTTTAAAACGAGCAGAAAATTTTAAATAACTAAAAAAGATAATAACCTCATCATGTGATGAATAATCGCCTTCATATTCTAAGAGAAGCACTGACTCTACCGAAAATGAATATTTTAAATAAAAAAATAAAAATAAGTTACTATTATTATTCGTTAATATACTATATTGTGTTATCGGCAAACAAACACTGACTCTAATTTCGCGTGTAAATATTATATATGTTATTTTATATAAATTAAATTCACTCTGAATTGTCACACTTTTAAAAATAAAAAATACTATTACGAAGCAAACACTGAATTTACTAATCGCATTGCGCGCGATTACAATTCTCTGAAAGAAAAGTTATAATAACAAAAAGAATTGAATAAAAAAATATATAATACTTTACCTTTTTTTTATCAAGCATTTGTTAAAGAAAACTTTATTATTTTTTTGAAACAGTTAAAATAATGAAAGAATAATGAAATCACTTAAAATAAAAAATATATTCTAACATATGGAAATAAAAATGCAATTTGTCTAATATTTTTTACTTTTATATCAATATTCATGATTATTAATATCATGATAAGTTATGAATTACTTAACGAATGAACAATAAAGAAATCTATTCGATAAAAAAAATAGACATCCATTTTTAATGTAAAAACAATCGTTACCATTTCTCCATGAATGAGTTAATAGGGAATTATATCAAATAATTACCCTGGTATCCATATTGAAATACGCTTTCCTGCCTTGAGATTTCTCAACAGCTATTAATATGCGCCTATAAAAAGCAAACAAATTTTTATAG